TATCACCGAAATATACAGGACCGTATGTCATCGCATCTATACCCGGACCTGTCAACGCCTACATCAAACCATTGGACAACTCAACCGACCCGATCCTGGTTCACGTCGGACAACTTGAACCGTATTACCTCCGCGACCAGTCTTAAAGCGCCGGGGAGTGTTGAGAAACTCATATTTCATATATTATTTAGCCTTAATTTTAATGTTTAACTTTTGTATTATTTTATTGATACCTATTTTTGTGCATTTAATCCCTTATTTTGAATTTATTAACTATTTTGATCGCTCTATACCTACCGTTTCCTATGATTGATCGATCAATGACACCAATAACTGGCGCCAAGTGATCGATCTATACAACTGTCTTAATATTCAAACCAACCAATAGCTGTATACCAAATACCTAGACTTCCCTATCATATAAATACCAGTACTGACACACCAGACAGTCAGTGCAATCTCACCCACCATTACAGTGCAATCTTACCCACCATTACTATCAGTCATTATACTGTATACACATTGCATTCATTTACATACATGTGCTCTTAAATTATACCATTTTTATAACCATTGTTTTAACTACTATTTTAATTGTCTTAACTATAATAAAGTATTGTAACTAAAGTGTGTCTAAGTTATTGTCTTCACCTAATCATTGGATCGATTACCACATCATATCTACCATTCCTCCTAAGCAAGCATTGGCTGATCGATCAACACTTCAAGCCACCCTTTCGCTGGCCATCCCTGCAAGTTATAGAAGTTATCAATAGTACGAACGGATCGATCCCTGGCCTACACTCCGGTCACCACTACTGCAGATCTGTACATCATTTTGTTTGACACGTATAGTGCCTTTCAAGTGATCACTAAATCAATTGTTAAGTCTTTGACCGATCAATTGATACCGTTGTGGGAAATTGAGGGAAACTATCAGTTGTTGGTCTCATACCGACCCACGCTAGACAACTGATCCATAGGTTAAACCCAACCGCCCACAACACATTAATTATTGTTTTTTGTTGCATTTTAATTGATAACCTTAATTATTTAAAAAACAAACAAACATAATAAATTTAAATATTTTTTATAAATAAATTTTAATACTAATATAACAATTAATTTAATTTAAAACTTTATTGTACTTAAACTGTAAGTTAGTTTAGAAACTTATACAATATAATTAATAATATAATTATATAATAGTTAATTTAATTATTAAGTTTAAACTAAATGTAATTATACTGTAGTATAAGTCTCGTTTAAATAATTGATAAAAAAAAATAATTTAAATGTTTAACTAATAATATCTAATGATTACCTAATGATTACCTAATGATTACCTAATGATTGAGCGTATAATTCAAATTAAATTATTATCGAGAGATAACTAATAAATCAATTAATTATTTATAACTATATATTTTCAAAAAATATTTTGAACACAAAAAACAAGTCTTAGAAATATATATACATTTTTTTTATTGATTACAATTATCATCACAAAGATATTGAATTATGATTTCAATAAATATCTTATTGTTTTCCTCACTAATTGTGTCCATACATTGTCCATCAAATGAGTCCAGTTTGTCGACAATTACTATTGAAAGTACTGTAGATAGCAGTGGATCAACTAATGGATCCACTAATGATTTAACAAATACTGATCAAAACAAAGACACCACAAATCAAGTGATAATCACTACCACCACTAGTGATGATAATATCATCGATAAAACTCAACATAAACCGGACAACACATCCATATATACCTTATTGATAATCATAACAGTCTTTATAATCATTGGTATAATATTTGATAGTCTTATAGCAGTRTTTGTCTACTATAGACACCAAAGACAAGTAGTGGYGGCTAAACGACAAAMTAGTATTAAGAAAAATAATGTTAAACTAAATGTAAGTTTTTTGTTGTTGCTATTAGTTGTTATTAAATGAGTTATTGTTTTTTTATTTAACAAAAATTATTTAATTATTTTTTCCCATAAATTTTTTCAGCCGAATAGCAAATTAAATGGACTYAAGCCGTCAATTCGGTCAAAAGTSGGTAAATYTGATACTTCATGGGAGACACGGATAACTGCTATATCGGGTGTGTCGTCAACTAAATTATAATAATATTAATAATACAATAGGAAAATAATTGACAAAAATTTTATTTTAGTTATTTATTTTTTTGATAATAAAATTCAATATTTTATAAGCAAAATGTAAAATAACTAAATAATAGTCTTAATAATAAAAAAATTATGAATACATTTTACATTTAAAATACAAATAATATTTAAATTTAATGAAAATATGTGAACCACGCCTTATATATTTATTTAAATTATATATCAATAAGATTAATGTATAAAATAATCAAATAACTTATTTTATTTATATTATAAATAATATTTTAATTATTTATTATTTTAAAACATAAAATCTCGACAATTATATTATATTAAAATACATTTTCTTTGGTGTAATTGTCGAGATTTGATGTTTTTAAATGATAAATAATTAAACTATTATTTATAACATAAATAAAAAAAWTAATTTATTTGATTATTTTGTACATTAATMTTATTGATATATGATTTAAATAAATATATAATACATTTTTACAGATATAACCAATGATATCAATGTTTGTCTYATTATTAAAATAAAAAGTTTACTTTATAATAAAAACATGTTTATAATAAATAYTGTATCTATTATTCATATATTTAATRATTTTCATTAAATTTAAATATTATTTGTATTTTAAATGTAAAATGTATTCATAATTTTTATTATTAAAGACTATTATTTAGTTATTTTACATTTTGCTTATAAAATATTGAATTTTATTATCAAAAAAAATAACTAAAATAAAATTTTTGTCAATTATTTTCCTATTATTATTAATATTATTATATTTTAGTTGACGACACACCCGATATAGCACTTATCCGTGTCTCCCATGAAGTATTAGATTTACCGACTTTTGACCGAATTGACGGCTTAAGTCCATTTAATTTGCTATTCGGCTGAAAAAATTTATGGGAATATATATATATATATTTTTTAAATAAAAAACAATAACTAATTTAATAACAACAAAACAACAACAAAAACTTACATTTAGTTTAACATTATTTTTCTTAATACTAGTTTGTCGTTTAGCCACCACTACTTGTCTTTGGTGTCTATAGTAGACAAACACTGCTATAAGACTATCAAATATTATACCAATGATTRTAAAGACTGTTATGATTATCAATAAGRTATATATGGATGTGTTGTCCGGTTTATGTAGAGTTTTATCGATGATATTATCATCACTAGTGGTGGTAGTATTAGTTGTGGTAGTGATTATCACTTGATTTGCGGTGACTTTGGTTTGATCAATGTTTGTTGAATCATTAGTGGATCCATTAGTAGATCCACTGGTATATACAGTACTTTCAATAGTWATTGTCGACAAATTTGATKGACAATKTATGGACACAAATAGTGTGGACAACAATAAGATATWTATTGAAATCATAATTCAAGTCTTTGTGATRATAATTGTAATCAATAAAAAAAATGTATATATATTTCTAAGACTTGTTTTTTTGTGTTTAAATATTTTTTGAAAATATAGTTATAAATAATTAATTGATTTATTAGTTATTTCTCGATATTAATTTAATTTGAATTATACGCGCAATCAATGCGGTAATCATTAGGTATTATTAGTTAAACATTTAAATTATTTTTTTTAATYTATTATTTAAACGAGACTTAWACTACAGTATAATTACATTTAGTTAAAACTTGATAAATCAAATTAACTATTATATAATATATAATACAAGTATCTATTGGTTTAGTTAACTAAAATAAAATATACGAATAAATTAATTAATAATTTTTTGATGTTTTTTGATCATTATTTTTATTATTATYATTGTTAACAATATCTATACCGATAATAGTTTGACTACTGATCWGATCTGACTATCAGTATTGCTATCCGACCACAACATTAGACACTWGTTGTTGTTGTTGTTGTTGTTGTAGTTGTTTGACAGATATGKCAGACTAATCAAACTAATCGGTARTTTCTAAATCGGTGTCCGTTTTTCAGACCCGAAGTTTATATAGCGTTCAGTTACTAAACTAACTTAAAGTTTAAGTATAATTTTTAACTTAAATTACTTATTGTATATTAGTATTAAAATTTATTTATAAAAAAATATTTAAATTTATTTTATTTGTTTTTTTAAATAATTAAAGTTATCAATTAAAATGATACAAAAAACAATAATTAATGTAAAATATTTAATTAGTTTTATAAACTTTATAAAAGAAAAACAATAATTTTTATTTTCTATTCTATCAATAAATTAAATGTTTATAATATTGTAAATCAGTATAAATGTTAATAAATTGATACAAATAAAGAATATTTAAATAATAATATAAATTTCAATAAAAAAATTTATTTTGTTTGTTTGTTTGTTTGTTTATTAATTAATTAAAGTTATTAATTAAATGAAACAAAAACAACAATAATTAATGAAAAATATTTTAATTAGTTTTATAAACTTTATTAATTCAAAATTAGGCGCTTTTTTGATTGTTTTTTTATTATCAACTAAAAARTACTTTACTATATATAACTATATTAATATTATTAACATATACAGYAATACACGTGTCTATTGAATGCATTGCATTATACTGTACTGTAAAAAACTGTTCGATTATATTCAAAACCATAACAATAATGGCCGCCCACTAATACACTAGTATAAGTATATGAGCGCAATATTACTGTTTTGGTGCTTAGAGGGGCGGAGTTTTTACAACATGCATARACTATATATGTTACATAGTTATTATACACACTATTWTATTTGTATGTATATATATATATTAAGTGTAATCTATGATATATCTATGTTYTTGTRTGKTGTCTATACTTRTTGTTTTGGTTTTGAATATAATATATATAGAGATAAACATAAACATTGTATATTGAATATCACATAACAGTCATTATAATCGCATTATTTAGTGGACACAAACACACGGCGTGTTTAATATGTRGTGACTCTGCCGTCATMTGACATCACTGACCATCTGTTTMTGATTAGCCGAATCTGATCTCAACAATGGYCGACAAGTCATCGCCACCGCCGCCGTCATCGTCATCCACCCGAAAACGACAATCGTCGCTACAGTTGGCCACACTGTCGGCCACCTATAACATTGCATTGCAGGTTAGTGACCACACCCGAAAAAAATRTATTGAYTACTARTGTATTCATATTGTTGTTGTTGTTGTTGTCGATGTCCRCCATCACCGCCGCCGCCGCTGAAYAGATAGCTCTACGTATTGTTACGTTTGTGGCCAACGCYGTAGTCTTGCGATACATAACCAGAGATGTGTTGGGTGTCATTAATGTCAGGTATTGTCGGCATTTGGCTGCCGTATTGGACAACAACACTGGATAACAATTGATTAACAATTTTGTGTCCATTTTTTTTAATTATTCATAGATTGCTGTTGTTRTACACAACCATTCAGTTTATTAGCCGCGAACCGTTTCGTCGGGTAAGTGTCGGCTCAACCAAATCGCACGACTGGCCACAAGTAGTCAATTTGATTAGTCTATCGTAAGTTGTCTGTCTGTCTGTCTGTCTGTGCCATTCATTTTCCAGTTATTAATCGCTATTTTTTTTATCATATGTTGTTGTTGTCCACAGAATCCCGTTGTCGATGATTTGCGGAACCGTTTTGTCACTTGTCTGGTATCATATACTAGAACGACCCGATCCAGACCTGATTGCCGACTACGGCTACGGAGTGATAGCCATATTTGTATCRGTTATTATCGAGCTGTTAGCCGAACCGCTCTAYGTTTTTGGTCAGACCAATGCYTACATCAAGTTTAAAGTTGTGGCCGACGGCATGTTTCTAACGACCCGAACGCTAKTTATGGTAGCTCTGGTGTCCAAATGGCCGCATMGAGCYGTWATYGTGTTTTCGGGCGCACAATTAACCGCATCYACGGTCTATCTGTTACTGTATTACATATACTTTATTTCGGTAGAAAARCGACCGCTTAGACTATTTCTACCGAAATCTATTGACAATAAGGTATTTAAATGTAATGTTTTTATTTATTYTTTAAAATTTATAACATTTKTTATAATCATATAATCGATTAGCCATTCGTTGATCGATCACTTGTCATAATAACCACCAGTTTCTTGAAGAATACAACACTYAAGCAGTTTCTCACAGAAGGCGARCGTTTTGTTATGACATTCTTCARTGTTATTACATTTRCCGAACAGGGAGTCTACGATGTGGTCAACAATATCGGTTCACTGCCGGCCCGACTAGTCTTCCARCAGATCGAAGAGTCGGGTTATGTATTGTTTTCGCAGAAATTGGACCGACAAAAGGCGGCCACCGATCAGCGGGACGACGATCTCCGCGARTCGGCTGTTATATTGAARAATTTTCTGAAACTAATGTCACTATTGGGTCTAACAATACTGGTGTTTGGTGTCAACTATTCYGAATTGGCTCTACTCATCTACGGTGGCCAGCGATTGGTCGGCGACGACGGACTGGCCACTGGTCTACTCCAGTGGCACTCTATCTATGTTTTATTTATAGCTGTCAACGGCATTGCCGAATGTTTTACATTTGCCTCAATGAACAGCCGACAAATGGATTCATTCAATCGCCAAATGATTAGCATATCTGTGATATTCCTCGTCAGCTCATACTTGTTGACCAATTGGTTCGGTAGTTGCGGCTTTATTATGGCCAACTGTCTCAATATGGGCTCACGTATTGTTATCAGGTATGTATGCTTTTTTGCTAACAACAATAATGTTTTAGTAATTTAATTTATTTATCATTTTAGTATAAATTTTATTAAATCCTATTACGCGAACACCAAAGCAGACGTTCCCATCAATGGATCCATTCCTCAACCGATGGTTTTGGTCTCATTTTTGTTGACATTTATCATACTTTTCATAGTTAAGGTTTGTTTTATACTTTTTTTAAATAAAATTTGTTTTATTAATACAATTATAATTTGTTTTCTATCTATAATAATAGCCTTATCTATGTTGTACTGGTTTATCGATATCATTGTTGAAAATTATTGGTTACATAACTATTGGCTTAATTTGTCTTTTAGTAAATCTTATWGTGATTTATTTAAATGAACGACAATTAGTAGAATTTATTGTCAATTTATTTAAATCAAAATCYAAGATTTTATAATAATATAATTATTATATWAATTACTGTTAAATAATTTTATTATCTATTTATATATTTTAATATTTTTAACTATTGTTAACAAAAAATTTTGTTTATTAAATGCAAGACAAATGTTTCGGTAATATATRTTATAACGTGTTGTAAAAATTGTTATTGAAATTATATTTACCRGTAATTTATTATCCTTATTATAGTATATATGATTGTAAAAATTATTACCKATAATAATAATAATAAATATACAGCTAATAAAAACTACAAAAAAACATAATAATTATAATTATCGATCAATAAAATGCTTTAAACAAATTTATTTTATTTAATAAGTAAATAATCTTAACATTTGCTGAGAAATTTGTATTCCCGAAAATAATAGTAATAATAATAATTATTATTATATAAAAAACATTACAATTAATTTTTAAAAATTAATTTGTAGTTCAATAATAAATTATTAATTTAAAAAAAAACAACTAATAAACTAATAGATATGTAAATAGATTGATAGAAATATATAGATTATGTAAGTGAGAGAAAGTTTGAAAATAMGTTTTTTTTAATATATATATAATTAAATTATTACTAAATAATTAATTATCATTTTTTTCGTTAATAATTAATACATACATAATAAAAATACAATCATTTTGTTTTTTTCATCATAAAAATAAGTTTTCATTSAAATTTATACATATTATATAATAATTATTATTATTACTACTTTTTTTGTTTTGTTTATAAATATATAATTTGTTTKTGTTTTTAAATAATATATTTWGTTTTTTTCATGTATTACTAATTTTTTKTTGTTAACTTAAAACATAATCAATTCAWTCATAATATATATATATATATTCAATTTAAATAATAATAATAATAATTAAATAATCAACTTAATTTTACAAGTAATTTAAAATACAACATTAAAATTGTTGAAACATTTTTTTTTTGGTTTATTAGGATCATTATAATTAATAATTAAAAAAAAAAACAATAAAATAATAATAAAATCCCAAACAAACAAAAAMCAAGGTTTAAGTCAACCATAAATTAGATATAATGACTGGCCATCAGAATTAGTTTTGCCATTCAAGCAGATACTCGATTTTGCCGTCGGGTCGTATACGTTGRGCCAGTATGTTRAACGACTGGTCACTGTTGTTGTTGTTGCCGACACCGCCACCGCTAACAGCGCCCGGCGAACCGCCAGTCGGCGAACTCACAAAACACTCCATTTTCGGTATCGTCTGGCCATCGGGTGTGGTGTCAATCGATGTGGCGGCGGMGGCAGCRGTSACGTCGACGACTCGTGTACTGGTCGGGTAGGAGGCGGTGGCTTCGGTTTTGCACGAGATTCTCGGTGTAGGACTAAGCGAACTGCGCGACGACAGACGACTCCTCAGTGCAATGGCTTCGTCTTCGACGTCGGCGACAAACGGATTGTTAGGKCCGTCAAAGTTTTTCGGTACGGGTATTACGGCATCCAACGAATCAATCACACTGGTAGTACCCAAACCGTTGTCCGTATCGCTGAAACAGCTRTCCTCCGAGCCGTTCATCGACGAAAACTTTGAGACTCTTTTCGCTGCCATTGTTGACGCCGACGTCGACGACAACGTATTGCTTGTYTTCAGACGTTTTGTGCTATTATTGTTGTTGTTGTTGTCGTTTGGTTTGTAGGCTCTGGTGACGACTGACAGCGTTGATGAGGCCGAGGACAACGATGACTTGTATTTGGTGAYCGGACGYACTGTTTTCGCYTTTTTCTTGGCAATGGCCGCCCGGGCGGCCGCAGCCGCAGCCATCGAATGCTGCGACGAACTGCGACTACTGCTCAAACTACTGACGGTACTGGCATTGCAACTGTTGCTACCGGTGCTCGAACTGCAGCTATTGGATCGGCCCTTCTTCTTCTTCTTMGTCGTYGTCGTCGTCGWCTTCTTAGTCATCTCACAGGCAAGTCGTTTGCCGGCAGCACTACAACTATTACTACTCTTGCCGGCCATCAAAACGGCGCTCTGACGACTATTTTGTGTGTTCAGTGCCGGATATTTGGCGGCACCCTTACGACAGGCGCCATATATGAGAGGTGTGGGCGTTGATGTGCTGTTGTTGGCGGCATTAGTGGCCGCCTTTGTAGTWGTAGTGGCTGAGGTAGTCGTCGACGTTTGGATTGTTGCCGCAATCGGTTTGTCAGTAGAAGTGGTAGCCGCATTAGTGGTAGACGCTAGACYGTCACCGCTGCCGGYTAATGGACTGGTCAGACGGTCGGCGGCGGCTGGTTTGAAGATCAATGGCTTCTCGAACGGAAACGGTATCCTCAGAGCCCATAGGCTATGCTTTTTGCGTACTTCCCGRCCATTAACAAAACGACTGGCATCCGAATTGAGGACATCGTTGATTCGGTCGCGTAGTTGACTTTCGGAYAGTTTTCGGATGTCTTCGGACATACGCATCATTGGACCATAATTTTGGACAAACGGTAGTATATCGCCGTTGAGGTCGAAAAACCGTTTTTGCTGCTGAAGTGCCAGATTGTTGATAACCAAAGCAACCATATCTGACCAATCAATGGTAATACGTTTAAYCTGTTCCCGGCCATTACTGCCCACCGAACAGACGGCACACTTRAAATTATAGTACAGATCGCCATAAAGTAAGGGCGTCTCCAATGACTGTATACACGCCTCGTGAAACCATTGCAAACAAGTCAAACACTGYAACATCTTTGACCAGTAGTTGCCRTTACCGCCACAATAGCAATACGTTTCTTCYGTATTAGTTTCATGACTGGCATCCCAGTGCAAGTCCTGCAAATCGTAGGGCAACTCTTGTTTCATATGTTTGAGTGCCCGACCGATAACRCCGTTACGTTCGGCGCCGCCGTCTTTCGTTCCCAAAGCAAATACACACAATCGACACGTCCACGGAATGTCCGGTTCSAGGATTTCGTCGCCAATACGCGGTTTGTGACACTTTTGGTGATAGCCTTGATTGCAAACATCACAGATAACTATYTCGTTYGGTGSCCTGGATCTACCGTCSCGGCACAGGGCRCACAATATGTCCGAATCGGCCATTACTGAGTCCGAACTCAATTGTTTGTGTAAGTCATCAAATCTGATCCAATAAAGTGATGAATCTTCGAATTGGATCAGACATCTCCTTCTASCAGTTATGTCGATCTAAAAAAATCGTTATAAAAAAAATATATTTTAATATATATTTACATTATATTAAATGAATTTAAATTATATATATATATATWTTTTTATTCAATAYTAYAACTTTATATAAAAGTATACYGGTATATATTGCTAAAAATAATTGTTATTATATATGATATGATATAAATATTGAAAAACTAGTGTTTAGCAAACAAACAAATACTAAACTTTTTTTAATAACTAAATTTACATAAAAATTATTTTGAAAAATTTTGAAAAAAWTAAACTCAATATATAACTTAGAAAATACTAAATATTAATTATTAATAAAAWAAATATATCATATTTTTATACTTATTATATATTTATTATAATTTAATATACATAACGACATAATTTTTTTTAWCAAAACTTTTAGTTGTATTAAATTTTCTATAAARTGTGTTTTTTTGCATGTTATGAATTTTTTTTKTTTTTTTTTGTTAATTTTATATAATTTATCTTATATTTTATATWTTTAAAAAGTATCATATTAACATATACTATTAAAATCATATAATGTTAATGATTATTAAATAATTAAAAAATAAAATAAAAWTAAGTAAAAATAATATGTAATTTCATTATGACTTATGATTATTTAAGTAAAACAAAATTATTTTTATRATTTTTTTTWAATATGTATATATATAATTATATTTGTTAWCCATTATAAATAYACAGTTKTATGTATTATTATTTTATTATTTTAATTTTTTTTTTTGATAACCATTAATTTAATATACTGTATATGTAAATACAGTATTTTACAAAATCTAACAATTTYATTAAAAAAGACAAACAAACAAATAAATACTATTCATAATAAAATGTGTGCTAAAAAATATAAAATGATTTTTAAAAACAAAATGATTTTTTTAAAGTGCCTTTAAGTYAWATAAATAATTAAGTTAAACAACATTTTTTATGCCTATGATTTATTATTATATWTTTTTTTAAAAAAAACCATTAAAATGATTATATTTCATAAAATTTATGATGATTTAACATTAACTCTTTTACTGTATATATATATATATATTTTTTAAATTATAAAAATAGGCCACATATTAACAAACACACACACAATAAATAACATAATTGATAGACAATTAATCTTACAATCATAATCTTGTTKTTAATTAATTAATTAACTAACAAAATGTTAATAATAATAATAATAATTGTGCTATTATTGTATCTCATAAAATACWGTAAAAATTCATAATATCTATTCAATAATATGTTTACTGTAAATAATATACTATTATTATTATTATTATTATTAAGTGGAAACTTTGTTTTTTATTAATTGATTATTATTATTAGCAAATAAAACAAGGCTAAATAAATAATAAAAAATAATAATAATTAATTTGAAACCCCAAAACAAACATAATTTTATTGGTGTCGATGGGGTTAACAGATATATAATTTATTTTTTATTATATATATATATAGAAAGTTAAGCCACTTATGTGATAATGTGTCACAAATAATAAATATTTATCATTTATTTTATTTATTTATTTTTGTTAATTTTATACTATGTATATGACATAACCAGAAATAAAACTTTTATATATTTTTAGTACAGTATAATAATATATTTTGTTATTGATATAATTAGGTTATTAAAATTAAGATAATTTTTWWAAAAAWAATAAATTATCWTAAATACAGTAATACAATATTTTTGTGCCAATAAATTATAATAATATAAAGGACTTAACTATTGACGACAACAACTAAACAAATAAAAAAAATTAATTYCCATAAAAAAGAGTTAAGTAATAATAATAATAATAGTATTTATAATTATAATAATGTARTATAAGTCATATAATATAMAAAATAACTGTATATTAATCGTTAAAATGAGATAACAATTTTTTTCTTTAAAAATTCATTAGATGTATACATAAAAAAATTATAATTATCATTAATATGAAAAAAAACATTTAAACAAATTGGGGGAAAAAATATTTTGCATATAAATCATAAGATATTAATTCCAAAAATATTTTAGCAACAAAAAAATGAAAAATATTTTTTGATAAAATTTTTGATTAATTTGTCGTYAAATTTAGTGTCGTTTTTTATTTGGCAAAAAAATWAGTTATTATCCATTTTATAAAAAAAGGGGAAATATATAYAMATATATATATATATATATATATATATATATATATATATATATAATAAACACGATCGTGATTTGTAAAATAAGTAATTTCAATGAGAAAACTAAATAATTAATATAAATATATATATTTAATAAAAAATTAATTTTTTTTAATTGAAAAATACAGTTAAAAAAGTATATTTATTTAAAAATATACGCCAAAAGAAATGTTTAAATTATATTTTATTCAAAAACAAAAAAAATAAATAAATAATTCAATAATAAATTATCACAACGATTAATATCAGACAATATTATTAACTAATAGCTAACATATTTTATCATTAAAAACCTACACCCCATACACTCACACACACACACACACACACACTCATACACACACACACACACACACACACACACACACACACACACACACACACACACACACACACACACACACACACACACACACAYTAGACAACAATCTATCTAAAAATATATATAGTTTTTTTATAATCATGTATTTTAATCAACAACAAAAAAATAGCTATGAATTTACTTTTAGTATAGCGCCGTCTCTTATATAGTAAACACTTATCAATCAAACAAAAAACTAGAAAATGCTATCAAAAATTATTTATTTTTAAAAAATAAAACAATTATTCATAAAATTAGATGATTTTCGTGAGAGAGAGAGAGAGAGAGAGAGAGAGATCCAAAAAACATGAGATTAGTGGCAATCATTGATTAGTAACGCTTAGGGTTTTGAACCGGAATTTTCATAATAATAATAATAATAATAATAATAATAATAATAATAATAATAATAATAATAATAATAATAATAATAATAATAATAATAATAATAATAATAATAATAATAATAATAATAATAATAAAAAGGAGGCACAGTGGTGTAGTGGTTAGTGTGTAGGGCTATGTAGTGTAATGGAGAGTAAGATCTATAGTTCGAGCCCCGATGTGGTAAAGCAATTTTTCTGAGAAAAAAAATTGTTTTAACTGTGCTTCCCGTCCCTGCCCAACCAACGCTGTTTAGGACGGCCAACTTAAGTAGTATGGGGAAAGCGGGGTGCTAAGTGAGGACGAGTTTCTGCCCGACCCCGGGTATCGGTACTTCGGTATCGGTACCCACCTGGGGGTACCCGCAAGGGTGCCCCCACCCGGGGGTGCCAGTAAAAAGGTGCCCCCACCCCGAAGAGACGTCCGCAAGGATGTCTCTTCACCCTTCGAGTAGTTACTCGTCCTCACACGCAATGGCCACTTTTGTTTCAAAAAATAAAAAATCCTATTTCAACAAACACATGTTAGTGGTGAGAAATGGGTGGCAATAGACACATGTTAGTGTTGAGCTTATTCTAGGGACTGGGACCCCGTAAAAAGGCCAAAAACAAATATATATATAATTATGATTACACGTAGTCGAAGAAATAACGGGGGGTGTTCGGGAGGTACCCTCTCAAATAAATCCCGCGTTCAGCAGGTAGGCATTGACTGCAGTTCGTTAAGTATGCATCATATCCCACGCAGTGATGTGCTATGCGGGCAAAGCTGTGATGTAATGCGACCGCAGACTAGTCAACAAAATCAGACTAACCTCCAAAATGTTTCAGTTCAAGCTGGTTCTCAGCGACAACTGACCAATTTGGTTGAAAAATCGCAAAAGCGCATGAAATGGACACATGAGATGAATACCTTGATAATGCGCGAATACTACAGATCAACTCGACTCGAAACAAATATGACTGATTACAGAAACCAAATTTACTTAGCATTCAAACAGAAATATCCAGAACTAAATGTAACGGAACAAAGGATTGCAGACCAGCGGCGATTCTTAGCAAAGAATAATAAAATATCCCCAATAGAATTACAAGAAATCAAACAGCAAGTGGCACATGAACTATCATTAAATGAAACAACTGAATTAAATACCACAGTAGAAGTAGTGCCAGAAATGGAAGAGACACCTACAACAACAGATAACAGAATCAATACAAATGATGAAATAAATAGAATAACAGCAGAAAATGAACTAAAAACTTCTTTAGAACAATATAAAGACTTTGAAATAGAACTCAGACCTAAGTTACCAAAAATAAAAAGTGGCGTAAAAACAAGATCTACAATAATAACAATTAATGATATACTTAAAGATTACATCGAAGATAACATGTCGTTGAGCACAATTAATACAATAACATACTGTGCAGCAGTAGCAGTATCGAGACTCTTAGGCTACAAAATACAACACATGTCAACTACAAAACTAAATCAAGAAAATATAATACCTAAATGGCAAAAGCGAATAGAGACACGTATAGAAGGGAAAAGACAAGTAATAGGAAGAATAACGCAAGTGTTAAATGGAAACAAATCAAAAAGACTTAACCAATCATTAAAAGATATATACCGATTATTACAGACAAAACCTGGAAAACCTGAATTTGAAGCTATTATCCGGAATTACAACGACACATTAAAACAAACAGTTCAAGCACTATCACAAAGAATCAGAAGATATAAACAACAAAGCGAAAGACGAAAGCAAAATACAATGTTCTATAATAACGAAAAAATGTTCTATAGAAATCAAAACAAAATAAATTCAAGCAATATTAACCATACACCACAAATAGATGAAATAGAAAACTACTGGAAAGAAATCTGGAGCAACCCAAAGGAATATAAAGAATCTAATTGGATAAATGATATTGAAGATGAAAATAAAGAAATACCACCTATGACTTCAGTAAATATAATTAAAGATGACTTAACCGAAGCCCTCAAGAAATCCCACAATTGGAAAAGCCCAGGACAAGACAAAATACAAAACTTCTGGTACAAACACTTTACAACAGTACATCAACCAATGGCAATAGCAATGGATAAAATAATAAAAACAGGACAAACCGATGACTTCCTCACTTCCGGAATAACATATCTACTCCCAAAAACAGAAAATACATCAGATCCCAGCAAATATAGACCCATCACTTGCCTAACAACAATGTATAAAATCCTAACATCCATAATATCAACAAAAATATATAATCATTTAAGTAACAACAACATAATAGCTGAAGAACAAAAAGGCTGTATAAAACACTCAATGGGCTGTAAAGAGCAATTAACAATAGACAATATTATAACAATAAGAGCTCGTCAAAAACATAGAAATCTTGAAATGGCATACATAGACTATAAGAAAGCATTCGATTCAGTCCCACATAAATGGTTATTAAGAGTGTTAAAACTATATAAAATTGACAACACACTGATAAACACATTAGAAAATATGATGAAAAAATGGAAAACTAAATTGTGTGTCAATACTAATAATGAAACAAAAATAAGTACAGAAATCAAAATAAATAGAGGAATATTTCAAGGAGATTCACTCAGTCCTCTGTGGTTCTGCTTAGCCATAAACCCACTGTCATCACTACTTAAAAAGCTAAAAGGCGTAAATCTAAAATCAAGTGATACAAAATATAATCTAACACATCTACTATATATGGACGACTTAAAACTATACGCCGAAAAAGAATCTGATTTAAATGCAATGTTAAAAACAACAGAAACTTTCTCCAATGATATAAATATGGAATTTGGATTAGATAAATGTGCTATAATGAAACTGAAAAGAGGAGTCTATTCTGAAAGAAATCAATACGAAACTGAAAATGGATATATAAAGGCACTAGAAAATGGAGATATATATAAGTACTTAGGAATTAAGCAAATGCATAAATCTAAAATGACAGAAGTTAAAGAAGAAATAAAGAAAACATTAAACCAAAGAATAATAAAAATACTAAAATCTCAACTAAACTCAAACAACAAATTCAAAGCAATAAACACTTGGGCTATACCTGTACTGACATACTCGTTCGGAATAATAAAATGGAGTAAAACAGAACTTGAGACAATTGAAAGACATATAAGGCGACAACTTACAATGTTTGGACTACACCACCCTAGAAGTTCTGTAGCACGACTATGTGTTAGTAGAAAACATGGGGGTAGAGGGTTACTAAACATTGTAAGCCTTGAAGCCAAACAGCGAGAATTGCTGAGAAAATACCATCAACAAAAATGCAATGTCTCAGAGCTCCACAAAATAACATCAACACTCGATTACAACTACACACCTCTAAATCTCAGCAATAATGAACATCAAATAGAAATACAAAATGAAAAAGAGAGGATTAACACATGGGCCTCAAAAGAACTTCACGGAAGATACCGGGCAGAACTCAACCAAACACACGTAGACGAAGAAATGTCTACAAAATGGTTGAAGTACGCCGGTCTTCATGGAGAGACAGAGGGGTTCATGATGGCAATACAAGATCGAGTGATTCCGACACGAAACCATCAGAAATACATCCAAAAGCTAAATATACCAACAGACAAGTGCAGGATGTGTCATATGGAGTCCGAAACAATAGAACATATACTAAATGGGTGTAAAGTACTCACAAACACCGAGTACCTAAGCCGTCACAACCAAGTAGCCAAAATCATACATCAGGAATTGGCAATAAGATTCGGACTAATCAAAGAACCATTACCATACTATAGATACGAGCCACAAAGTGTAATGGAAAGCAACAGAGCCAAGCTCTACTGGGATAAAGAAATAAGAACAGATAAAACTGTGGCCCACAACCGCCCAGATATAGTACTAGTAGACAAACATCAAGATAAGGCGTACATAATAGACATAGCGGTCCCACTAACACACAAACTACAGGACACGCATAGTGAGAAACGCCGAAAATATACAGACTTGGCCTATGAGATCAATAAGATGTGGCGCATTAAGAAAGTTGAAATCATACCTATAATCCTGTCATCAATGGCCGTAATACCGAAAAATCTGGCCCTAAGTTTGGAATCACTGGAAATCAGAAAAACTAAGATCTATGAAATGCAAAAAGCAGTGATACTTCAGAGTTGTAGAACAGTAAGAAAAGTACTAGACTTGAGTTGAGTCTAACCAGTCGTGTCTCTGCCACCAAAAGTGGCCGACACAACTGTGATCACACCGGAACAACCGTGATATACAAAAATAATAATAATGGATATTATTATTAATGTAATGTAAAGTGTTTTTAACTATTATTTTAACTAAAAATAAAACAAATTCAGTTCATATGAAAAAAAAGTTGTTATCGTAACTGATTTAGTACTAAAATACAACAGTATATCTCCAACTAWWATATATTAATAGTATATAATAAATTCAATAAAGTTTAAAATTACATATTAAACTCAAGTGTTTTTATTATTATATACATTTACTTATAATAAATTTAATACAGTATTATACTGTATATACCGGCATAAAATTTAATGTATGTGTGTGTGTGTGTGTGTGTGTGTGTGTTTGCATATGTTAWACAAATTATTAGACAACTCATGTTATATAATAGCTTTTAACTAATATTTCATTTAAAAATATATTAAATTATCATTTTTATTATGTTGCTGTAAATTTGTTGTTAACACAAAACATATAGTTTATATTATATATACCGTACAAAAAATTATAAGTAATTGTAAAATCAATTTATCGATAAAATAAATATGAAATTAGTGAAGAAAAAAATWAAAAAATTATTTACACACATATATACTGTAAAAAYATATCATTATGAAAATATATGAAAATAATAATAAATTCATCAATGATTATCATAAATAAATAAACAAATAAATAAATATTAATATACAYACATACATAGGGTATCWCTGATTCATTTARTRTTAATAATCAGATAATAYTTATAATTTTTWW